TTGAGGTTGTCACAATTTCCTTTTAGCATTGGTCTATCCCATGACTAGTTTCTTGACTCGTAAGGGCAAACTTGTAGAATTAAAAACATGCTCTTTTACTGTAAGATGTTAATAGACACTAGTCCATCCATACCCCATTTTTGTAACCACCAAACCTGAGGGTCCACTTTACTGTTATCTGCAGAATTTACCAAAAGCTCTGTAAGCCTAAACAGATCATAGAAACCATTCGGTCTCTACAATCTACTTTTGCTTACAATGCTTTTGGGAAACGCAGCCATGTTCAATAAGCTGAGTTTGTGGCCTATTGTTTAGCGCAGTGGTTCTCAACAGTCCTGGGAACCTACCGCTCTGCACATTTTGAATGTCTTCTTTATTTAACACGCTTGATTCAGGTCATCAGCTTGTTAGGAAAGAGCTCAATGAACTGAACTGAATGAGTCAGATAAGGGAGACATACAAAATATGCACAGCAATGTGTAGCGGACTGACAGGAAGCAAAGTGGGAGAGAGAAAGGGGGACAGGATCGGGAATGGTACCCAAACCGAGACTCGAACTTGAGTCACTTGAACCGCAACCACGCTATTAAAGTGCTGCCCATGAGGCTATTGGCTCTGATGTCCCACGTCATTCTTATTGTCAACGGACAGCCCACTCTTTGATTTTATAGCAGAATTATGTTGTTGCAGAAAAGTCCAAGAACCTTTCTTGTCTTGAAATGCCTACCAAAAAAGAAAGGTCCTTTTTTATTGTTATAATACAGATGATGTTCAGTCCAGGGCCAGTTTGTGTAATTCTAGCATGCCTACCTAAAACCAGAGTCAATTATTCCAATATATCACAATTGCGTTGGGGTCCACCAACCCTCAAGCAAGCCACCCATCTTTATCTCTGTCATCATCCCCTACTCAGCTGTTACTTTTCCAGAGGTGTCTATACAAGCCTTGTCCTTGTATGGCTGAGAGAGCCACTGTCCTCCTCCCTCGCCGGTCTCCATAGACTGAACAGTGAATGAGGATAAGTGTGAAGCAGCAGTCAATGAATCAAGCAGTCTGACCGGCAGCAGCCGGGGGGGGGGAAAGAGAGAACGTCGAGCGGGCCCCCCCACGGGACTGGCCTCGCATTAGGAACTTCCTCGCCTGTGTGTTTCTGCCACAGGTTAAATGGATCGTTCCCATTAGCTCGGTGAGGGGACAGCTCCATTACGTCAAGGAGACTCTAACTTTGAATGTCACGGAGTGCCGAACCCTAGCGCAGCGCGTCAAGCACCCTGCCGGAGAGGCCTCGCTGACAATAACCATCCATGATAATCATTTGCTGTCAGGTGCTAAGGAAGCTGGAATTATGATGCACAGCCTGCCCGACAGACCAAGACACAGAGCGCTCTTTAGTCCCGCTGGTTGGGTGGTGAAAGAAGCTTCTTGCTCACACATCTCGGGTCTAAAAATTTTATTTGGACCCTGCACACATCCTTCCTTTATGTTCTGATATGAGTCTGCTTTCACCATGTTTCTTATCGGTTTACACTGGGATTTGGATAAGGAATAAAGACCCTGCCTTGTGCAGGTCTGAGACCTTTTTTTTTTTTTTTTTTTTTAAGATGACCATGACACGGTTTCACCAGGAGAAGCTGTCCCAGATCAGCGTGACACTGTCACCGTGTTTTTCCCATCTGCAATACAGATGGCTTTACCTGGTAAGGAATGTGGACTGCTTGGCCTTCTGTGGCAGATGTGCTAAAGGTTAACTTCAAACAGTCATCAGTGTGCTCGGCATATGGAATCTACAAGAGGAAGAAAGCAATGAATTATGGCCGTGGACATGCTTAGAATATTTTCCAGGAAATACCCTGAACCTTCTTATCAACACTGTTTGTCCCTGACAGTTTTTATGAACAGTAATATATTATGATTGTGAAATTCTGTTTTTATAGTTAAAAATGACATGGGTTACATAAGTCTTTTTGAATGGTTTAATAATAAATAACTGTATGGACACAAAATAATGTCTAGATTATATCAGTTTTGTATGACTGCCCTGTAGACATCCGGAAAGATGACCTTTTGATTGGCTGATGCAAACAGTGATAATGATCATGATCACCTTTCATGTACACAAATGATAACAAGCATATTTTTTTATGTCAGAGCCAGTGTCACATCTGAAACCATTGTGTTGTGTGCATGTTCTATGAGGATGCTACAATATGTTTTGGCAAATCATGTTGCATCTGTCATTGTTTTATCATCCATTCATCCAATGTTTTTTTCCCTCTATCCGCCATTTCCGACATCCATTCTTCTTATCTGTTTGTCTTTCTATCTAGATATATACTGTCTATTGTTCTCTTTCTATCGTTCTGTCATTCTCTTTTTAGCGTTACAATGTTCTTCTATCTGTCTATCTATTGTATCTTTTGTTTACTGTCCTCGAGTAGAATTTCTGAATTCCACAGCACTTTGTGACCGCAATCATGATGCCGTCCTTTGAAGAAGGCCGGACAAGCTTTTTCTATCTGTCAAGGATGAATTCACCTCCAAACCGACCCATCACCCCATCTTCCAGTGGAGTAGACATAACCTGGCAGGCTTCACTGGTGTCAGGGCCTAGACCCAGACCCCCTCCAGCTCCAAACTCTGTTCACCCATTGGTTCCCTGGCCCCTTCCCCTTGCACCCTCCAATCATAGCCCTCCCAATGACACCTAGAGGAGGAAGTGGGCTCTCTCTCCACCCCTCCCCTCTCACTCCTAGCAACAGGCCATTTTTCTGACCGAGCCTAGCGTCCTCTTTTTGACAGTAATGATTTCCGAGCAAGTACATTTTTTTTGTGTTAAGATTGGTTTTCATATCTGTAAGTGACATTGACAGAATAGCTGTTGTGGTTTGGGAAGGATCAGAGACAGATAGCTGATAGTTCTACAGAATAAGGATGGGAATCGCATGGAGAGAGAGGGAGAGATAGAGAGGGAGGACAGGGCAAGAATGAGTGATAGTGACAGAAGTTGGATCAAAGACTGACGGTGTCCTCACTGTCTTCTTAGCAAAGTTCATGAGGTATCTGATAACTACAGAGCGCAACCTGTTTTGTTTCATGCTGAATGATAGAATGCATGGTGATAGGATATATGTTGTTTCCCCCTCAGAATTGTGTGGGTTGTGGTTATTCCTCAGGTATACTTTTGCAAGCACGTTCACAAAGTTATCTCTGAAAGGCTTAATGTCACACTATATTTTTTAAGGCGTTAAATGGCTATTTTATGCATTATTTTAGGCTCCTGTTGTAAGTAATGCAGCTTTTCTAAAACCTTTATAACTTTATCTCTTTTGTGGAGTACAAAAGAAGATATTTTGGGAGAGTGTTTCCTTTAGGATATGTAAAGACTATTATTTTTTTAATGCTGTTTCATGTTGAATTTTACAGGCATGTTGCTTTGAACTTGAAAATATATAGTCTAGTTTTGCTATTTTCAAATTACTGAAACCTGTTGTCTACTCTTAAAAGATTGAATGTTATGAATCCTCTAAACCAAACTAAACGAAAATACTATTCCGTAGTGAATAAATAGGCCGATATCAATGACTCTTCCCTTTTCCAGCCAGAGTTTTAACCATGACAGTTACTGGACAGTTATTTCATTTGTAAAAATCGAGAGCTCGCCAGGAAAGAAACTGGTCCAAATCACATGGATTGGATAAATGGCTTATTCCCTTGGACCATCCCTGTTATTTCACACCATTAGACTGGAAAAGTTTCCTTAAAGGGATAGTTCTCTAAAAAATAAATAAATTAAATCATCATTTACTCACCCTCATATCGTTCCAAACCTGTATGACTTTCTTCAGTGGATCACAAAAGATGACATTGTGTATAAATACTGGTCACTTTTTTCCATGCTGTTACAATTAATGGGTTTGGAACAATATGAGGATGACTATTGAAGGATTGAAGTGGTTGAATTATGCCTTTAATATTTTCAGTTACACTGGCTCCTAGAATGATACCTTTGTGTTTAGCACAATGGTACTATTGGCCACAGCTTGACGTCATATTTTGGTAATTGCCATTTACCCCCATGCTGAGTGCTTTTTGATTTAATCGTAGGTGTAAGTTACAAGAGGAATATTGCTTGTTTGTTTCTTTGTGTAATGTTGTTGTTGGACAATGAGCTTCCAGCGATAGCATTGTTGATCTGTGAAGCTTTACAGGAGTGCCTCAAGTTTCGCTTCTGGGTCCTTTCTGTATTTTTGCTGGCGTGTCCTCAGGTGCATCTGTGTGCACGTGTGCCTGCTCATTTGCTTTACTGTCTTTAACTTGTATTCCCCCTTCCCTCAAAAAAAACATCTGAAGCATCGTTATCGCCGGCCAGAGCTCTTTTTATTTTCTGTGGAATTACTGAATCATGTCAGCTCGACGTCCCTAGAGTTTCAAATGCAAGCTGTAGAAAAATTAGCCATTGCTTCCGCATGACAAGTGGGATCTATTAGTCTGCTGTAGCCCATAGAGCATGAGCACGCTCGGTCCACATGGGACCCTCTGTTTCAGCAACATGCACACACATCCATCCGTGCCTCTGTGGCATTAGTCATGCTTTATAAGGTCAGACATAAAGATGCACCCGGTGCTTCTGGGCTACACCAACAGACATGAACATATTCACAGATCTGTTTAGCATTCTGTATGTGATTTCCTGTTAATTTCCATTGCGTGGAGGTCAACTGTGACAGCAAGGCTACTGCCTGGTCCGTGTGACGGCAACATACTGACCTCCCTGACCTTGCTTAGACTCAGCCTGTGGCAGTGCTAGGAAGCATTAACACAGTCAAAGCTAGCTTTTGGCTCTCGGTCAATGTCACGGCTTACAGCATCTCCGTTCCAATATGCTGTCAGCTTTCTCTGTAATTTACATAGCTTTCAGCTGTACACAACTGTATGTTTGCACACTAATAAGGAAAAAAAGAAAAAAAAAGTAATATAATTTTTGTATCTATCTTTTGCAGGTATTTCAGTAACAAAGAAGACACACACTTGTAAGTAATTATTTTTCTTTTAATTAAATGTTTATTTATTTTAATTAAATTATTTTAATGTTAAGTTTTATTTTAATACTTAATTTTAATATTATTGATAATTGTCATTGGATTACTCTTTTTATTGCATTTTTGAAGACTGTATAAATATAAGTTTTATTTAGTTGGGTTTTTCTTCTCCAGGTATCCTTGTGTGTATGTGTGTGTGGTCTGCAATAATGGTGCTGTTTCTCAGTTATATTTTCACTGTATAAAAAAAGAAAGTTTGTCTGCTATTATTCATTTAAGAAATCTGAATCTCTCATAGGAATCATGTGATTTTTTTTCTGAAGAAGAAGGTGCTATATTATCTACTCTGCTTGCTCTTTGAAAACAAGTATGCGTTTTGTGCGTGACCTTCGCGAGTGAGGTTAAAGACGTTCCTTTTGATAAGTCTCTGAGAGAGATATGGATCAGCTCTGGAGGGAAGACTGTAGAATCTCTGACAGGTTGCATACGTGACCTTTTGGGACTCTGTGCATTAGATTAAGTATATCAGTGACTTTATCTTCGTTTCAAGTTTAGTTGAGGTTGCAGTTCGGTTCAATTTCACACCTGAGCTTCCGAAGCTGAATTTTTTAATACATTTCTTCAGTGCTGGGGAAGCTACTTTAAAACTGTAGCTTGTCAAGCTACTCACAATTTAAAATAGTTCAACTTGTCAAGCTTACAATAATGTCGCATTTTGTCACACCAACTGCTACTTTTCAAGTATTTGATACTGGAAAATCAACACTATTTTGAAAACATTTGACCTAGATTCACTACTGAAAACAGTAGTTAAGCTATTAGTGCCATTAGCTTCGCTAGCTAGTTAGCATTGACCAATTTCTGAGAGGCTGTATTTGTTTTGCATCCTAGTCAGCTGTAAATCTAGCTAATTAAAGCTCATCTTGTCATTTTATATAAAAATACTTCCATCCTTTCATCTGTCTACGTTCACTTGACTTGTTGAAAGGCTGTAGAAATATCCAGTTTTAGCTGTCTTCTCCATTCATCCAGCACAAAGGTGGATCTTTCATCCTTTCTTCCAGGGCCCTACTGCTATCTTAATTACGGTGCTGATCACTTCTCCTTAACAGAAGGAAGTGAAATCAAAGAACGTTTCAAGTGAGAGGGTTCAAAGCCATGGACCGGACTTCACTATTTAATCTCAATGAAAGAAATGCTAATGATGCGTGTCAGAGAGCGCGAGAGAGAAAGTTAGAGAGAAAGAAGAAGAGAATGAAGTGTGAAGATGACATGTTAAGGCTGCTGGCAAGGGTCAAAGGGCACTGTTTGACAAAGAAAGGGTTAATAAAAATACATAATGGGTTGAGAAATGGTCTTGCTGGTTACGAAAGTAATTAGCATGTGTATCGCTCAGCATAATTCATGCTAAGGAATTGGCCGGTTTTAGTTACGAAATCAAACTTGACCCTAATTGCTTTCAGTAGTAATAGGGAACCTCTCAGGACACCCTAGCAACCACCTAGCAATCCCCTAGCACCCTCATCGATACATGTTAAAAAATTATTGGTCCAAACTCAATTAACCTATTTTGCTTTGTAATGTCAACATATCATTGGATTTCCTGTTGCACATGAAAATGCGCCGTATTGGATAAACTAAAATGGTGTTCATGCTGACTTTACTGAAGGTATCAGCTGAGATTGGATAGATAATTCACAGGATGTGTGTGTTGGTTGGGGGTTGTGCAAATGTGTGTTTTACAATCGAATAGACTGCATATGCAGCCATAATGCATTCATGGAAGCAACTGAACTGGAATGTGCTCATACCCATGCTCATATGCACATGCAAACACACACACCCAAGGCTATAACAACTACACATTACATTTACACACATTTCCCCCAATCCAGGGTTGCCAGGTCTGTGAGACAAAGACAGCCCAATGACTAATCGAAACTAACCTAATAACAGCACAAATATGCTAATTAGAAATATGCTATTTTTTTTAGGCTACATTTGCTCGACAATGATGTACTAAAAACCAAAACGTTTTTCCTTTGCGTTCGTGTACGGACAACAACGTTGTCAAAAAGACCCCTGTTCACACGGATCCACGAAAACGTCTAAAATCGCTGTATTATTCATGCCAGGCCAGTAGTTGGCGATGTCACTTTGTAAAGAAACACGACACGCCTTTACACTGAACACGTAATGCGCATGTGGATGACGTCACAGTTTTCACAAATTCACGTTTCTGTTGTTTACATGGAGACGATAACGATATTGTTTTCAAAAACTCGCACTTTGAAACTTATTTTCAAAAGTTTGCGGTTTCAGGTCCCCAAAACGGCATGTAAATGAACAGCCAAAACGTATCAAAATGTTTTCGGTTTTTATTTGAAAATGATGTCATGTAAACAGCCCCTAGAGTCTCTATTATGTATTTCCTTTCATTTGGAGGGTTAAGGCTGGAATACATCACACATATTTTGCCCAGATTTTTGCCCCGATTTGCATTCTGGTGGAGTCAACACTTGTTTCGAAAAGTCAATCTAAAGATGATTTGGATTGCCAAATTTCACAAAACATGTTTTCGGGCTATTTTAGAAAACATGTTGTTTTCATTTGTCATGTGTCATTCCTAGCAGCGAGGCACATTTTTCTGCATGAGATTCTTTTGTTGAAAGTCTGTTGTTATTTAGTAGTGTATGATGCCCAGTTTTTCTCAGCCGGTGAATGCATGAGGCCTAGCGTTTTAAAATCTGTTCAGAATTTAAGTTGTGTAATGTATTTCAGTCTTTATGGTGTAATGCGAGTACAAACATTCAACTATACCTTTATTTAAATTATTTCACATGTAAGTTAACTTGCTCATTTCTACCGTTTTTCATATCTACAAAAAGTTTTGACAGTTTTGCTTGATTTTAATCTTAGGTTTTTTAAAATGTATTTTTTTGTGTTTTGATTGTGTTCATAACAACACTTGGCATAACTGTTTCTATAAAAATCTTCTAACCTGTTTTGACTTGCAGAAAACAACAACCCGCAGCAGCAGTAACCATGCAGTCTCAACCACACACACTCTTTGCAAACTCTCATCTTCCCACACACACATCACACAGATTCATCAGCCTCATCTCTCCACTCTTGCCTGAATGATCAAAACCGTGAAAGCAGCCCACCGGTCCCCTCATCAATATAAATTACAGGGCAGCTGTTGGCTAGCAGGCACTTTCCCACTCCCTCTCGGCCTCCCCTGGCTGCACGTTCAGCCCTTAATAAGCCTGAGCACTTTCTCGAAGAGAACAGATACTTCAGTTCTCCTCTTTACGACCCACTGGCCGCCTCTATGACCAACCCAATGTTATTCCGAAGTGCCACAGAGACAAAGCCAATGTATAAACGAACATTCAATGTTGGAAAAACGAACATTCAGGTTGAATTTCACTTCAAGCAAGTGCATAGAATAATTGGTTGTATTTTATTTATTTATTTTTTTTATCGGTGGCCAATATAATGTACAAATATAAATAATACAGCTTAATCATGACGAATGAGCATTGCTACACAAATTTGCTAAAATAAATAAAAAATAAATAAACTTTCAAAACTACATACAAACTTTCAAAAGTGAAAACAAAAATATTTTCAACTATTAATTGGCTAATTGAAAAAAAATGTCACATGACTCATTAAAAAAATAGATAAATGGTATGTTTTTCAACTTTAAGAAAAAATTTCATCTACAATCACCCAGTCTAGTACAATTATCGACTAAGGTGATGCGGAATTCATTGAATTAATCGGCCTGGCCAATATATTTGTTTACCATTATTAAGTGAATACAGCATTTCTACATTTGCATAATACAAAAATATTCTACTTTTAGAATAGCAGTTAGCAAACAAGTTCAAGTCCTTCCCCCATTTCATTTCATTTTAATTAAAGGGCAAAATAATGTATAAATACAAAGTTATACTTTTAAAACAGAAAAAGATGCAGAGTGAGAAGTGCAAATTTCTCTTTTTCAAATTGTAAAGTTTCACATTTCCGAAAAGGCTGTTCTTTTAGTCGTCATTTGTATGACTGGAATAGACACTCTCAAGTCATTTGAGAATGTGGCATAAACACTGACTGTGAAACTTTCCCCACAGGCTCTGTTTTACTGCACAGTTTCAAGTATGGTTTTCTTTACGTTTGAACTTGACATTTTTATGGCCGGCCTTTTTATATAGTGCTACTGCGAGGCCATGTGGTTCGTTCTGGCAACAGACTCTTTTCCTTAGATAAACAGTGCTGTTTAATAGCTCTTTGAGAGGAAAAACACAACACCAGACAGGAATTAAGTACTTAGATGTCTCCTGTTAAGAACAGGGTGTTCCAAGGAATTTAAATAAATGACAGAAAGAAAATATTGTCCTATAAAAGTTCAATAGGACTTTTAGTAAAGGACTCGTTTTCAAGGCCATTTCTTTTGTTTCAGCTTTTCAGACAGGAATTAACTTGATTAAATATGTAGAAGAAAATATTAGTGTTTTCCTGTGGGGAACTCTGTGGTTTGCTAAGATGGCGTTTTTTCAAATGTGGCTATGCAGTTTCTTGGGTTTTTATGGGTACACTGTAAAAAAAAAGTTTTGTTTAACTTAAAGTAAGTGTTTGTTCTGACTTAAAATTTTAAGTTAAGTCAAACCAAATATCCAAGTTGTCACTTAGTACAATTTCACATTTCAAGTTGACTAAACTTAACATTTTAAGTCAGCACGAATACTTACTTTTTTTAAGTTGGAACAATTTTTTTTTTTTTTTTAAGTGTAGTTTCTAGGATTTTACTAGGTGGTTTGTTACTGTCCAAGTAACAAGAGTCCACCCTCAAGTTTTTGATATTCTGCTTCTTTCAGTGTCAGTCAACAGATTTTTTCACTTGTTTTATTGTGTTGATTGAAAATTGTAAATCTGGCTGCATAGAGAAGTAATAGATTACCTCTCCTCAACAAAGCGCATATTTT